GTATTCTGCTTTCCCATGCATATGAGTCAGACCCCAGCGCACCGCCACCAAGTTGATCCTGATTTATAGCAGCAGCCCTGCATAGGATTTCTGAGATTGTAAATACATCTTTACAGAAGCAGACAGCCTCATTTTTCTCCTGTGGAGTGGCTGGTGGGTTAGAACTGTTTACCTTGTGGTTAGCAGTCGAGTGATAATTCCATAGCGCAACCCAGGCAACTGACAATACCAAGGCATGAGTCAGGTGTGCCTTAGTCCTCAGAATGACATCTTTACTTTTGAATACTTTGAAGAGGTCTTTGGCCCAATGCAATACATTGTTTGATTTCTTGACTCCTGTTGTGGGACTGTAGGACAAGCAATGAACTGCTAACCACACAGCAGTTCAAACCCACCAGCTGTACTTTGGAAACCTTATACAGGGTCACTGTGAGTCAGAGCCAACTCGACAGCACTTAACAACAACTTCCATTGGCACTGATTGTGGATCCAAGTGAAATGAAATCCTTAACAACTCCACATTTTCTTTGTTTATAATGTTACTTCTTGATTTTGTTGGGAGGATTTTTGTTTACTTATGTTGGGTTGTACTACATACTGAAAGCTATAGTTTTTGATCGTCATCAGTAAGTGCTTCGAATTCTTTTCACTTTTAGCAAGCCAGTTTTGCCAGTTGCTTATTTCAGGTTGTTGTTAATGACTCTTCCTCCAATCCTGATAATATGTTCTTCTTCATATAGTTCACAGCTTCTTGGATTATTTGCTTAGCATTCAAATTGCACAAGTATGCTGAAAGGATACAACCCTGACACACACATCTTTCCTGATTTTCTTTTTCATTTTCACTTGCTTATTTAATCAAACACAAGTCTTACAAAAATACTTGAATTTGAACTCTTGTTTCTTCCACACTTCAAGTACACAGTATAGAACCAGGTTGGAAAAAACAAAAAGGAGAGGAAGACCATTACAAAACAAACGGGCAGCCCTTTCCTGACTTTAAACCAATCAGTATCTCCTTAATCTGTTTGAAAGACTCATGGTTGGTTGATGTCCAGGTTCTGAAGGAGAACAATTAAGTATTCGGGAATTTCCAGTCTTCATAAGGTGATTCTAATTTGTTATGATCCTCACAGTGATGCCTTTTGCATAGTCAATAAAACACAGATAAACATCTTTTTGGTCTTTTCTACTTTCAGCCAAGATCTGACATCAGTAATGGTAACCCTCATTCCACGTCCTCCTTCTGAATCCAACTTGAATTTCTATCAGTTTCCTGTTGTTGTATGGCTGCAATTTTGTGTGTGTGTGTGTGTATTATCTTCAGCAAACCTTTACTTGCATGTGACATGAATGATACTGTTTGATAATTTCTGCATTCTGTTGGATTACCTTTCTCAGGCCTGGGTACAATTATGGACCTTTTCCAATCTGTTGCTGAGGTAATTAACAACAAATAGGGAAACAGACTTAAATGTGGTAAGGACACAGATGAGGTTACTTGACAGATAAAAGATCCTAGAATCAAGTCTTCCTTATTGTTGTTCTTGTTAAATGCCTTCGAGTCGCTTCTGACCCACACTGACCCTGTAATAAGGCTTCCTAGGAGTGGCTGGTGAGCTTGAACCACCAATCTTGTGGTTCAAATCAGCTTTACAGCGTAGCCCCTTAACCCACAGTGCCACACCAGGACTCCTATGAGGACTGATATTGGGTATCAAAGAAAAGAAATATATATCAGAACTGACTCCATGGCATATTACCAACACCACCACTTTGTTCTATTATTGGTGTTGTGGGTTGTCAAGTCAGTTCCAACTCATAGCAACCCTGTGTAGGGTTTCTGAGTAGCTGCTATAGATTTGAACTGCCAAACTTGTGGTTCACAATTCAGGGCTGATCCAACAGTGCCACACCAGGAGTCTTATTGTTGTTGTTATGTGCCGTGGAGTCGGTTCTGACTCATAGTGACCCTGTACAGGGTTTCCGAGGATGAAAATCTTTACGGAAGGAGCACAAAGCCTCATCTTTCTCCCACAGAATAGCTGGCAGTTTTGAACTGCTGACCCGGTTAGCACTGCTGACCACTACACTGCCAGAGCTCCTAGGAGTCTTACAGGGTCATTAAAAGTTGGAACTGACTCAATGGCAATGGATTTGATGGTTTTGTTTATAAATGTGGGGGTGGACTAGTGGAAGCAACATTGGAAATAGAGTAAGCCAACCTGAGTTCAAAGCCTGGCTTTGCTGCTGACTGATTGTATAACGATGCCCAAGTCACACCCGCTAAGCCTAGCTTATTTACCTGTAAATTGGCAGCAGTAACCATGGTATTTTCAATAACCTCATATGCATGTGAAAGCTGAACAGTGAATAAGGAAAACCATAGAAGAATTGATACATTTGAGTTATGGTATTGGAGGAGAATATTGAAAGTGCCATGGGCTGCCAAAAGAACCTACAGATCTGCGTTGGAAGAAGTGCAGCCAGAGTGCTCCTTGGAAGCCAGGATGGGGAAACTTTGTCTCTCATGCTTTGGACATATTGTCAGGAGGGACCAGTCGCTGGAGAAGGATATCATGTTTGGTAAGGCGGAGGGTCAGAGAAAAAGAGGAAGACCCACAACGAGATGGATTGGCCAAGTGGCAGCATCAATGGGTTCAAGCCTGGCAACAATTGTGAGGTTGGCCCAGGATCGGGCAGTGTTTCGTTCTGTTGTGCATAGGGTTGCTATGAGTCAGTACCAACTCGATGGCACCTAACAACAACAAAACAATCAAGGTTGGTGCTTTGAGTTCAACAGTCTGGCTATCTACTTCTGAAAAATGAGCCATTGCAAACCCTATGGAAGACAGATCTATTTTGACAGACATTGGGTCACTCTGAGTCAGAGTTGACTTGATGGTAATTGCTTTGGGTTTTCTGACTTGATTAGCTCATATAATTATAGGAATGAAATGAAAGAATTGAAAAAATTGATGGCCATCACCAATTCTAGTGCTGTAGAACTGTTTTGGGTAGGTCATGCATAGTTGAAGGTTATGGTTATTTGAACATCTGTGTAGGCTGAGATTACTGGAATCCAATCCGGATCATAAGATTGCTCACAGGTACCCCTGAGGATTCTGGGTTGCAGGAAGGCTCTGCACCTTGAGCTGGACCATATGCAAACCAGAAGCATGAGGACAAACTGCCAACATCACATACTCCACAGATACAAGGAATTTTTGTGCCTTTTTTATTCTTTTATTGACTGCTTTAAATATGTAAGTATGCAGCTATTCTTTAAAGGACTGTTAGTGGTAACTGTGGCTAAGAGCTTATTTCCTCTTGTTTAGGGCCAGGCAAGGATGGTGAATTTGCAATCATTGGACTATGATAGACAATCTGCTTTTGTCTTCTTGCCCTGAGGCCAGAGGCTAGGTCAAGCTGCTCTGCAGAGGTGACTTAAATGCTGAAGACTGCTCAGAGTGATTCTCAAAACTAGGGTGAGTCTGGCCATGAGTAGGTTTACAAAAGTCCTCAGGTGATTCTAATATGGGGCCACTGAATTCAGTGAAAAACCCTGTGTCTTGGTCTGATTCAAACTATGGACAGGTGTGTGCACTCTCAGGGCCTGTGCAGCCCAATCTGCCTGGCTTTGTGAAGGGTGTCTAGGTAGGTATGGTGAGACAGAAGGCTAGAAGAGGACTTGGAGGGTACTAACTACACAGTCTGACAAGTGTGTACTTAATTTAATAATCAATCAGGAACCCTGGGAGGTTACTGAGTAAAAAGATGAGTAGGAGGCTAAAAGCATACAGAGAGGTGAAAGGGTTCAGCTATTTACAGTTTAGGAAATGAACTCCCTGTAGAGGAGTGTAACAGAAACCTTGCTTTTACTTCAGCTTCTGTTCACCATCAACTTCCTTCAGCATCTGGGGCCACTAGTTTCCCAGGGACCTGTCCAAAAGATCTTTGTAGGTTTTTTATTGACTAACTAAATGAATGTAGATTTTTCTGCCTGTCTCATCTCGATTTCAAGAGGGCTAGTACCCTGAAATTCTCCACTCCAGGCCTCCCTTTGCAAAGAAAGGAGTGGGGCACTTCCTCCTACCTATCCCCTTTTTATTTAACCCCATCAACCTGCTTTAAATTCTCCCAACTCCCACTCTGGGGCCTCCAGACTCTGTCTTTAGGTGTAACAAGCTTTCACCTGGCTTCCCTGCTCAGGTGTCAGGCTTCAAACTTGTCCCACACCTATTGTTCAGCTTCCAGTGAGTTAAATTCAGCTCCAGGTTCAACCAATATGATGACAGTCACAAACGCATTCCCCCAACCGCACTAGGGGCCACTAGGCCTACAAAACAGGCACACTGGGGCGTTTTCACTCCAGCAGCCTCAGTGGTGGGAGTGGGAGCCGGAGCCCCCTCCCAAACTACCAGCCCGCTCCGGGAGGGAGCGCCCAACCCTCGGCAGGCGTGGTCGCTCAGGTCCCGCCCCATCCCGCCTCCTCGCGCCCAGATAGCCCCCGCCTGGCCGCCAGCCCTTCTCTACGTACGCCCGGCCCCTCCCTCGCGGAGGAGTCCGGCGGTGGGTGATGCTCTGGGTCCCACCTCTCGTGGGAGAAGCGCGTTTCTACGCACCCGGGCAGCCCCGGCTCGAGCCGGCCCTCGCAGCGGTGGCCCGCACTCCGCGTCCCCGGGAAGTTGTCTCTGGAGCCCGCCGCGCCTCGGTCTCCTCCCCCCTGAGCCCCGCCCCCCCCGCCCAGTGCTGGGAGCTCGAGCCGCCCGGCCCGGGGGCGTCGCCGCTTGCTCTCTCCTAAGCCAGCGAGTCTCCGCTTCCCTCCGTTGAACGCGCGTCCCCCCGCCAGGCCGGGGACCCCGCGCATCCCCGAGACGGCGCGCGCCCAGAGCGCGGGAGCCCGGAGCGCCGGGCGCCTGGGACCCCGTGGAGCGGCTGTCCACCCTACGGGGTTCGGCAGGGATGCAGGCTGCGCTGTGAGCCCTGGCGCCAAGGCCATGTCCGGCGCCCGTTGCCGGACCCTTTACCCCTTCTCCGGGGAGCGGCACAGCCAGGGGCTGCGCTTCGCCGCGGGGGAGCTGCTCACGCTGCTACAGGTCCCGGACGGCGGCTGGTGGGAAGGCGAGAAGGAGGACGGACTCCGTGGCTGGTTCCCGGCGAGCTACGTGCAATTGCTGGAGGTAAGGGGTAAGGGCGGGCTGGGAGACCCGGGCTCGGTCCTCAGCGCGCTCGCGGACCTGTTGCCAGCTCCTGGACGTCGGACCGCCACGGCCCGAGGGGCGCTGGGGGCCCCAGCCGCCGCTCCTTCGCCTCGTTGCTCCGCGTTGCTGGGGGTGCCACAGGCAGCGAACGTTTCTTCGGGTGTGAGCGGCGGGGCGCACCGGGAGCGCCCCCTTGGCGTCCCCGGTTTGGGTCCTCCGAGTACATCGTGGCCGCCCTGAGCCAGCGCGAACTTGTTGCCTTTGAGAGTTTTACAGCGGGCTGGCGCGCTCCCTGCCGCTACAGGGGCCGGGGAAGGGCTGTCCGAGTCCAGTCGAGTGGTCTTGGCAAGATGCACGGAAGGTCGGGGGTCGGAAAAGTGGTCCCGATTCTGCTCCTCAGCCGGGCGTCTCCAATCCAGGGATTGTCGACCATGGACAGGCATGCTACCATGGGCCAGGCTGCCTGGCCGCCTTCGGGCCGCCCATTTGCTGGTCAGCTGAACCTGGCTGGCCTCCAGCTGGAGCTCTGTCAGCAGACTGGATACAGGGGGTGCCTCTCCTGAGCAGCCTCCCATGGATAAGGTTCTGGAGTCTTCTTGTTAAGTGCAGTTGAGTCAGTTCCAAGTCTACTGGCTGTTTATTTTCTGGGTGACAGTTGGAGGCCACGCTGACTTTCTAGTTGCAGAACTGCGTGGTCACAGTTTGAGTGTGATCTGAAGTTTCCAAAGCCCATGGGATGCGGTGACCTTAGGAGATATCCCCTTTAGTAAAAGGATGTTGATCCCCAGGATTGTCCTACAGATTCAATGAACAGTTTACCCGCAATTGTGTTAAGTATACACGGAAACGTTCTGATAAAATACTGTCCAAATTGGAGAGAATGAATTTATTTATAATTTAATCCCAGACCTTCTTCAAGGACCAAAGTAACAAATTTTGATCTCTTCTCCCCCCCCCTCCCCCCGCCAAAAGTGCGTGGGGAGGAGGAGAAAGAAAGAAGATAGGGGTGAAATGGTTATAGTGTTTGTTTGTCTGACAATCCTGTGGAAACATGAAAAACAGCCTGGCTTCATAGAGGTACATGAAGTCTCTTTCAGACCCAGCGGAAAATAACAAAATTCCTCTGAAACGGATTTGTAGCAAGCGCTTGAGCAAAGTTTAGCTGCATAAAGGCTAGAACGAACTTTCCTCAGGTTATCAGAAGAGTATGTCTAGAAAATTTCCTTTCTTTCTGTTTTGAGGACAGGCGCGTTTTGTTTGACTTGTAGGTAATAAGCAAGACTCAGGTGTGTTCTTCAATTTTCCTAGTCCCTTCCCTGTGATGTAAAAGAAAGCAAGTGTATTGCTGTTTATGGAAGACCTGGTCTATAAAGATTCTCCTTGTTTTCAGGAGCCCTGGGAAAGACACATATTTTGGGAGATCCTGTGGTGGCCACAATTTTGCAGGAAATAATGATGTGGAAACTTGGCTGGTGTACATCTGTCCTGTGAGGAACCTCCCTGGCTGAATTCAGTCAACAGTGTTTTGGGTGGGGGTGAGGTCGGTAGGTCCTCAGGCTGTATTAGCAAAAGTGAAATGACTTTTCTTTTTCCTGGTGAAGAGGAAGGGAATAAAAAGATAAGGCCAGATTCAGGTGACTAGACTAGCAAGATTATCAACTGAGACAATCTTACGTATGCATCATTGATGTCACATCAGATAACATATTCACACTCTTCTGAAATCTCTGTTACCTGGATTTTCAGATAGTTAACTCCCACCTAGTAAGTAACATGCAGTCCTGGTGTGGCACTACGGGTTAATGTTCTGGACCACAAGGTTGATTTGTATACAGGGTTACTATGAGTCGGAACTGACTCGACAACACTTAACAAGAGTAACATGCAGCAGAAGTACCCTCTTGTGAAGGTGATCCTGAGAATGGCTTCCATTTGCTGAGCACCTACTAACTGCTAGGTGTGATACATACATTATCACCAATTCCCAAGACAGCTCTGTGAAAAACTCAAGGAATAATGGTTTCATATCTGTTAATGGCTCAAGTGGTCTTTCCTGTACCTCTTTTAAACATAATAATACTGGTCTCAACTATGCTTAAAGTCAAGTGATGGAAGGGTTGGACAAAGCAGTCTCAGTCCCTGAGATCAGCGTTTTCATGACCGCATTCCTAACCCCAAAACCAAAGTCACTGCCATTGAGTGGAGTCTGACTTAGCGTGATTCTATAGGACAGACAGAATACAACTGCTCCCTAGAGTTTGTAAGACTGAATATCTTTATGGGCACAAACAGCCTCATCACCTTATTCTCCTTCAGAGTGGCTGGTAGGTTCTAACCAAAGACCTTGTAGTTAGTTACCTACTCCATGCTTAAATCCACGAAGCCTTCAAGGCTCCTAAGGAGAGGGCAAAGTGCTGTGCTAAAATACTTGCAGCTGCACCTTCCAACTTGACGAGTTTCTCATGCTACCCCGATGTTTTCGTTTTACTCCAATCCAACTGGTTCTTTTCAGATTTAGAGCAATTTCAACAGGGAGGATCATGGCTCAGGCACTTTGCACCTGGGGACCTCCTCTATGCGCACACTGAGCCTTGCTGAGTGCTGGGTAGAGTTGGGGGATCTGCAAGTAGAGTCCCATGGGATAGAGGTGAGTCTTTGAAGACAGATTTGGTTAGTGGAGAATGCAGAACTTGCAGGCAATAGGTGGGTAGAGTAGTCAGCAGACAGCATCATGAGACTGAAGGAGCTCCAGGAGCGGCCAGCGAGGTATTCATTTAGGTAGGGTGTTGTTGCAGGAGCTAGAGACCAGTTAAGAGTCTATAGATGCTGGAGGTGGCAACTCTCAGGTGATGATAACCAGTCAGATGCCTGCTGGGGGCATAATGCTCAGAAGCCCTGGGAAACGATTACAGTCAGAATGGAGCGTACCAGCCTCTTGAAGGAAGGTTGGAATGGTGACCGGCAGTTGGTGGGATTATTGTTGTTGTTGTTAAGTGCCATCGAGTCGGGTCCGACCCATAGCGACCCTGTACAGGGTTTCCGAGGGTGTAAATCTTTACGGGAGTAGAAAGCCTCATCTTTCTCCCGCGGAGCGGCTGGTAGTTTCGAACCGCTGACCTTAAGGTTCGCAGCCCGATTCGTAACCACTACGCTACCAGAGCTCCTTTGGTGGGATTATAGATCTGTCTTTATTTGAGCTTGAGGTTGTTGCCGCTAGCTGCCTGAACTTTATATATTGACTTGACTCCCATATGCAATGCAATTAGATCATTGCAATCTGTAGAGTTCTTACTGATGAATTTTCTGGAAGTACATCATCAGGCCTTTCTTCCTACTCTCTCTTAGTGTGGCAGCTCACCTGAAACTGGTTCAGAATAGTCAGGTGAGAGTAGCACCTTCAACACAACCCGAGCCCCAGTGTACCCTTTGCTCTCTGGTGCAAAGAGTGCTGCCAGGAAACTCCATCCTGGTGGAGGGGTGTGTGGGTGAGTACGGGAGAAACTAGCAAACAGTTCCTAAGGAACTCTTCCGCGTTCACATAAGGAAGAGGAACTGTGAGGGCTCAGCTTGCAGGGTGCATACCCAGTGGAAGAGTGTTAGGGACTAGTTCTGTGAGGGCCGGTAGATCTTCTCTGGTGGTCAGCTAGCCAATGGGAGGAGGTCAGCTTGGTGGAGGGTCTGTGCCTAGTTATTGGGGAAGTCCCTTTGGTCAGGCCTCTAAAGAAATGGTGAAACACTCTAGACCAGGCCAGGCTTCCAGAAGATGACTTTCAGGAAGACCTTAGTCCAAGCACTGGTAGGGCCAATGAATCTGCCGTAAGGGCCTTGGCCACTCACAGGGGCTGAGGCAGCCCTCTTAAAGGTGCTGGGAGGAGAGAACCAGCTCAGAACCAAATGAAACCTGTTATGGTGAAGTCAGTTCCGATTTATGGCAGCCGCCTATGTTAAGGAGTTGAATTACTCTGCTCCATGGAGTTACCTTGGCTGTAATTCTTACAGAAGCAGATCATCAGACCCTTCTTTGGTGGTGCCTTTGGGTAGTTTCAAACAGCCAGCCTTATGTCATTATCAAGTGTTAACTGTCTGTGCAACCCAGGGGCCTTGGAAATGGATCTGCTTCTCAAATGGGAACAAATAGGAAACCTAATATCCTCAAGACCCACAGCTGGCCACGAGAAATGAAGGCCTTGGATAGGAGCAGCTAGACGTGCCTTGGAGTCCCTGGGTGGTGCAGACAGTTAAGTGCTTGATACTAGCTGGAAAGGTTGGCGGTTCGAACACACCCAGAGGCACCTAGGAAGATGAGCCTTGCAGTCGGCTTCTGAAAAGTCACAGCCTTGAGACCATACTGAGTATTTCTACTCTGCATATCTGGGTTCACTCTGAGCTGGAACCAATTAACAATAGACATGTCTTATCTGAGAATTATCTGAAAAGGGCAAGGGCCAGAAAACTCTTATAACAGTCATTTGAAACACTTGTTTGAGGAGGAGCAGAGATAATGAAAGAGACATGGGCCTGGTATAAGATTGGGGCTGAAGGTTGAGGGAGCGTATTCAGTCACCTCCATACACCAGCAGCCTCTGGGTGCATAGAGGCTCCTAGGTGGACGCGGGAGCCCACAGCTCTATCCCTAGGATGGATCTGAGGAATCCTGTGTAGGTACCAGCAAAGCCCTAATGGCTTGAGAGTCCAACCCTAGTGACTAGTGACTGAGTCTTTCACTGAATGTTGTTGTTAAGTGCCCTCAAGTCCATTCTGACTCTTAGCAACCCTGTATAGTGTTTCCAAGGAGCATGGGTGAGTTTGAACTGCCAGCCTTAGGGTTCAAACCAGCCTTGGGGTCTGGTGCTTTACCCCATAGTGCCATACCAGGACTTCCTTCATTGAATGGAGAGAAGAAATTAGGGACCTCTAGAGGATATGGTGTGGCGCTGTGGGCTAATATGTCAGACTACAAAGTCGTTTGAACTGCAAGG